AAATCCGCCGGAAATCCGCCGGAAATATAACCGGTTTAACTTTTCCGGTGTAATTCCGGCGGATTTCCGGCGGAAGTCAACAAAAGTTGACTTTTTAAAACACCGCCGGAAATCCGCCGGTAATCCGCCGGAAAAATTCCGGCGGAATTTGTCCGCCGGAAAATCCGCCGGAAATGCCCAGTTTTCTAGTAGTGTCTATAGGTACAAATCCCCATAAAAATCATTAATTTTGATTCTCCTATTTTTTGATTAACAAAAGTTGGTATTTGATTGAGGTTTCAATTGAGATATATGGTCTAGGGGTTACCAAACCAAATCAAACTATCACAGTATATCAACTCTAAGGTGGAGTCTGGTGGAGGATCAAGCGAAAACCCCCAATTTTTGAAAAAAGTGTGTGAGGAAAAAAATATTGAACAAGGATCACAAGTGGTATTCTCAACGTTACATTATGAGACTTTCATGTATAAGAGTTGTCTTTGGAATCTGGGTTACAAATCTCAACTAGGCCTGTCGAGGGTGCCCATATAATATTTGAAACATATGTTCATAAACATGCACAGTGTTGCCTCCTTTAGACTTGTTGGATGGTTTTTGTTCTTTAATTTTTATTGTCATACAAAACATTGCACAAATTTTGAGCATGCAGAAGTTTATGTTTGTTATTTTAAATATTATTGCAATTAAACCAACCCAGTATATTCTAGTTGTATGTCAGCTTATCATTTGCCCTTTTTATTGAAAATGTTAGACCAGTAAAACTTATTGCAAGGTATGAATGTTGAAAATGCTATGCCTGGATGTTACATATTTATTCAAATTTTTGCGTATAATGATTAACATCTACTGTAAAAGTCCCGCTTGAAAAAACTGTTGATATTGATCTTGACTGTGTGGAAAAAGAAAACAACTGGTACAAAGCATTTTTGTCTGCTATTGCGAAGAAACTCAGATGCTCACAAATTCTATTCTTTCGATTGAAAGCGAGAATAACCTAGATTATCTGGTTGGGTTGGTTAAGGAAGAGAAACTCAAACTTGTAGTCGACTTGGCTGAATAGACTTGCGTCAAGGGCAAGGTTCTAAAAAACGCATTATAGCAATGTTATGGCACGACCTGGCCCCGACGCCACGTTGAATCCCGTGGCATGACTCTGAGGCATGGCTTGCAGTTGGCGCATTATAGCGAGTTATGGTGCGTTAGGGCGGGTTATGGCACGTTATGGCGGATTATAAAGCGCGTTAAGGCGTGAATGAGGTTTCTTTTGTTTTTTATATTTAAAAAAAAATATGGCTTATTAAACCAAATATTAGTGATTTTAATTATTTATTTTAGGTTTAAGATTAGGGTAAATGCATCTCTACCTACTAACTTTCTTTTCATATTCATCAACATTATAATTTATTTATTCATCAACATTATAATTTATTTTTTATATTTTTAATATATGATATAACTCGAATCCAATTAAAATATGATACATATACAATATCGTTATTTTATCTTCCCTTTTGAGTTCATATTAATGGTCGACCCTGAAATTGAAAAGAGACTTGTTGAATGTGAAAACACAAGAAAGAAGTGATCTACGGTTATTTGTTCCATGACCCACGAACAACAAATCATACCCCACCAAAAACAAAATTCCACTCGTATTGGAAACCTTAAGATGGTCGACCAAAGGTACCAAAAATGACTATAAATACGGTACTAATGGCGCCACGCTTAACCTTCAAGAACCAAACACAACACCCTTTCTACCTCACTCTCTCTCTCTCTCTCTCTCAAATGGCAGGACCTTCTCTCGCCACTCGTAAACCCCCAACCATCAAATTCCTTTGCAGTTACGGTGGTAGGATACTCCCTCGTTATACCGATGGCAAACTCCGTTACTGCGGCGGCGAAACTCGTGTCATCGCCGTCGACCGCTCCCTCTCTTTCTCCGGTAAGTGAATTTAGTAATTTACTATGATTTTGATTTTGTGCTACTAAAATGGAAGAACAAATAGAGTATATGTAACTAGTGTAGCAAGAATATTGGAATGAGATTTGCCTTTTTGACTTACAGAATTGCTGGTGAAACTTGGCGAAATTTGCGGGACGCCGGCGGTGGCTTTGAGGTGTCAATTGCCGACCGAGGATTTAGATGCGCTTGTTTCGATCACCTGCGATGAGGATCTCGTTAATCTCATTGAGGAATATGATCGAAAAGCTAGGGTTCAGTCATCATCGAATCTCAAAATCAGAGCGTTCCTTACGCTTTCGAAGAAATCCTCGTCGATTCCTTCAACCAGTTCCGCCTCTCGATTTTCTTCCTCCACCACGATTGATCTCGAGATTTCATCACCGAAATCTCCTCCTTCATCCACTTCCAACTCTCCGGCGAGGTTTCCTATCGCCGCCACGAGTCATTGCATCCAGCAGGTATCGAAACCATCGAGAAAACTTCCATTCCGTTACGATAAATCTGCCGGAAAGCTTCTGCGTTATGCATGTGAGAATTCAAGCCAGAGTTACCTCGTTCACAACGGCAACCATTGGCAATAACAGTCCTGAATCTGACACCGACTTTAGATCGGATAACTTGTGTTCGTGAAGGTATTTAGATCAAATCAGTACATCATAATCGAGGCAAAGAAGAACAATTCAATCAATGAACGAAAAAAAAAGTAAATTAAGGAGACATATATGTGATGTATGGTTAGATTTCAAATCGGTCTTTATAATGATCTAATCGACTTTGGTTGCTCGTCGTTATCCACCGTTAGGATTCCGGCAACTGCTGTTGCTCCTCATCTCCTCAGCAACCTTAGGTTACAAACGAGACCGCTGTGCAGAATTTGGTTGAGATTTGTGGATATTATTTCAATCTTTCCATTGGTTTGAAGTCTACAAAAAAAATCTGGAATTAAAACACCGAACTAGAAATCAGATGACAAATGGTTGGAATTTCTCGTGATTTCTTAGGTTTTATTTTAATAATTTGTATTTATAAGTAACAGAATTTGGTTTATCTCAAATACTACAAACCAAAACATATTAAAAATTCTAAAAATTTACTCGATAAACACTTATCGGTAAAATTCAACACTATCGTTTACTTATCGGGTAAGATTTTATTCACTAAAACGCATCGTATACAACAATTTAATCTCGGTAGCGCTAATCATGGTAAGAGTGACCGCCCTCACTTACTGGATGAGACTCTCGATTCTTGTTTTCGCTTTTACCGGATAAGATTCTCAATTTTTGTCATATTCTTCTGGTAAAGCAAAGTGACTTGATAATAAGCGTTTGGTAAACGGCACTTAAGTCTTTTTATAAAATTCAAATCTCTCAAACATATTAAAAATTTCGTTAAATTTTTTAAAAAACATATATTAATATGAATACCAAATTAAAGAAAATAAATCTTTCTTTTATAGAACTTGTTTGGTTAAAAACTCAATTATATTTATAATAAAATAAGACGAAAAATAAGATAAATTTATGATGTTTATCGGTTGATTATCAAATATTGATATTTAGTTCAAATATAAGTTATAATAATTTGTAATCTTGAATTTTAAGATATTTATATTAATAAATAATATACAATAATTAATAAGTTGGTTTTAATATAGTAAAGATATAACTAAAATTAGCAAAAGGAAGTAATAGTAAAATAGAAAGACAAAGAATAGAACAAAACATATTAGGGGTTGTTCATTAAACGTTTATCGGGTCACATATTTTACTAGATGAACATGGCAAAGATCAAGAATTATACCAGATAAGAAAGATAGCAGTGACTGAGAGTCTTACCAGGTAAGTGATAACGATAACTCTTACCCGACAAACGTTTAGTGGATAACATATGATGTTGTTCAAATGAACTAATATCTTATGTGGTAAAATAAATGAATGTTAAATCTTAGAGGTAAACATTTATTGAATAAGTATTTTGATGAACGACCACATAATTATTGGGTTTTCGAATAAATACACTTAGGGGGTATTCGATTCACATAATGGAATTTGATGGAATAAGAATCCATCAAAGAAATTTGACTTTGAAGGAATTGAAATGAAATTTGACTACGCATTTAGTTGATAGGAATTGGAGTGAAATCTCTCAAAAAGAATTGGAACAATCGTCTTTGTTTGGACTATCGCACCCATCGCCCTGCCCACACCCTACCAACCATCATGTCACTACTGTCATCATCACATCTATCACCCCGCCCCACCACTCCTATCCCACCCCTGCTCCATAGGTGGGGGTTGTTGGAGGCAGGAAGGGTGGGGTGAGGTGAAGGGGGTGGAGCTAGGCTCTAGACTGGGGCAGTGGATGGCAGGGTGGTAGTTGTGATGACTACAGTGGTAGGATGGTGGTTAGTGGTGGGGTGGAGTATGGTAAGGTGGGGCGGGACAGTGGGGTGGGGGTAGGTGGCGGGTGGTAGCTATGACAATGATGGTAGTGGGATAGTGGTCGGGTGGCTGTGGCCTGGGAATGGGTGGGTATGACGAGAACAATAGTGGCATGGTGTTTAGTGGTGGGTTTAGGGTAGGGGGAATGACGAACAATAGTAGCATGGCCGTGGTGGGTGGTGATGGAATTCAATTCCCTCCATTATGCTAAAGAATGATGAATTCATTAATTTGTGGAATTCAATGAAATTTGAAAGACTTCATCTATTTCAAGAAATGAATCAAACAAAAGAATTGGAATTTGATCAAATGAATTTTTCATTCTAATTCCATCAAATTCTTTCGAATTATGCAACCAAACGGCCCCTTATAGTTATTTTCCAAATGCTTCCTGTTAGATACAAAGGCAATATAAACTCTACCAAACATATAGATATGTACAAATAAAATAAGCCAATATTAACAAATATTCAGTATTTATATTATAAATTCTGTTTCACATATATATTTTATCAAAAATAATACATATTTCTATTTATCATGTATTTAAGTCCAACAATTATGTCTAGCATAAATCACCCATCGGTGTAGAGTCAAAAACAACTGTCGTCTAATGCATCATAACATTTAAGTCGGTCAAAATATAAGAGTCCATCCCTCATATCACACTTCTGTCAATAAAAATATATGTTCTCATATCCTACGTCCCTTTTTTGTCACACCAATAACATGAAAACACATAATCATTTCATTTAATATAAATTTATTTAGTTTACGATATTATATTTCCTGTTGATTTGTTTTCACGTGATTATATGACAAGGAAGAGACATAAGATTTGGGGACATCAAATTTTTATTCTACATTAGTCGGGCCTAATTGCCGTTTTGGTTATGGTTCGAGTTCATCGACCACAACTTACCGAACATCGTCCGTTTGGGCTGACTACCAATTGAACAAATTTGTCTCACCTTTGAAGAACCATCATCATTATCATCATCATCCTCTACTGGCGGCTTTGTTCTTGAACTAGAAACACTTGGGTTTCGTGACTTTGCCCACTGGTCCTCCGGTTGCAGGGTGGTTGCGCCCGATGGGCTTGGTGTACCGCCTTTGGCAGCTAATAGTGCCTTGATGTGGCTAGGAAGTGCAGTCAGGTGGCCATCAACCGTAGCTGCTCGAGCTTGTTCAAAGAACAAGACTTGTACTACTACCCGTAATGGCAACAACTCGTTTTGTGCTGCGTGCATGCATGCTTCCATTGATAGTCTTTTACAGTTGAGTGATCGACAAAGGTGTTTCCTCTCGCTCTTGTTCAGGTCTGGGTGCGACTGGTTACCCAACAAGTCAATATTTCAAACTCAAAAGCTTGCCTCTATAATTGTAGAACGTGTGAGAATATGTGAAACTTTATCAGATTACTCTCTAAAATTGTCCCCAAGATAGTAGGGAGGTTTCGATATATATGGAGGATAGATGATCGAAAACTAGGTGATGTGAGACTCTAACACACCCCTCCAACATAGGCTAAACGAACACAAATTGTCACAGAATGTTGAGATGAGGTGAATGTCATAATAAACTGATTTATGGGTTTAAAGTTTATAGAACCAAACAATTATGTGTCATATGTAAAAGCATTATATTAAATTTATAAGACAGTTTTGGACATCGTAACAAGTATTATACGATACTTTCGAAGTAAAACATCGTTTAAATTTGTAAATATGTCCAGTAAAAACAAGTGTCATATAAAACGATTTCATAGGACACTTATCAAAGTTTTCATTAAAAAAAATATAATATGACATTTTATTTTAAAATTATCCCAAAAATTAAGACGTCCAAAAGTTTCTTATAAATTTATTATAACATTTTTACATAGGATGGACAATTGTTTGATCCTATAAAATAATTATTAGAACATTTAGACATTATGTGTCCTATAAACTCCATTTTGTTGTAGTAGGTACAAATTGTCTTCCAGTGTCAAGTGCATAAAGTGGTAGGTCTTGTCTTTGATACCAGTTCAAATTGAAATATTTGGATTAGATTAATTTCTAAGAGCATCTCCAACACATTCTCCAAAATGAAGAGTCAAAAATTAAAATATGCAAAAAATAAATAGATTTTTAACTCTAACAGAGTCTATATTTTAGAGATTACAACATTAATTATATTAGTAAAAATATTCAATATATTTAATACAATATTATTTCCTCCGCCCTAAAATTTTAATTTTAAAGACTATTGTTGGTGAGAATAATAAAATATCATTTCGTACTTCCAAGCAAATTTTTTAGGGAGTTCTCCAAATTTGGAGAATTTTACAATTTCTCTCGTACTCTCTCCATTTTAGAATCCGTATGAGAAAAGAAATCCACAAAACCTCCATTTTTGAAGACTCGGTTGGAGATGCTCTAAAAGCCCCATTTAATAGAGAAATGAGGTTCCAACATATATGGAGAAAATGGGCCGTCCAACACAAACTATGTAAACGTTTACCGGATCACCACCCTTACTTACCAAGTAAGATTCTCGTTTAGAAAAATGACACAAGATTATTAGTAAAAACCATATCTCTTACCGGGTAAGCACTTTTGTCTGCTAAGAGATGATAAGTGTTCAATAACCGGTAAAAGAACACAAGTATTTAGTAAGCAACCCCTAAATTATTCAAATCTAACAGATGTGAGACTCTTTAATGCAGTGGAGGCATAAAAGACTAGAAATCAATGAAAGATGGCTGCAAAAATTTGAAAATTGAGTCCCTATGGTTTGTAAAAATTGCGGATTTCATCCCTGTGGTTTCAAAACTTCGATTTTCGTTCCTACTATTTGTAATTCATTTCTATTTTAGTCCTTCAAGCCAAAACAATAACTTTTAAGTACAAGGACTAAAATGGGAATGAATTGTAAACCATAAGGACGAAATAAACAATAGATTTTAAATCATAAAAATGAAAAAGATTATAAATTATAAATCATAGGGATGAAAATTGTATTTTTAAAAACTAGAAGAACGAAAATAGAAATTTTCAACAAACCATAAGGACTAAAAACATAATTTACTCTCGGAAATTCTATTACCTTGAGATATATATCAATGGCTCTGTAAAGATCATCATGATTCACTCTAGCAAGTTGAGGAACAGCTTCAATCAAAGCAATGAACTTTGACAATGCCACATTCACATCTCTAGCAATCTCCTGCAAATACCCATCTACAAGCCTTGCCACTTTGATCATCCTGCCATTCGAACCCGAAGAAGATGATGTACAACTCTCCTGGAAATCGCAATCACCATTGGCATCCATTTCCAACCTTTTCTGAAGACTTATATGCTGCTGACCTTGTGTTTGCAACATGAATTGCTCCATAATGTTCAAAACTATATCAAGATCGTATATCGTGTCACTATCGTTTGATGTCGATGGTATCATCAAATCACAAACTTTAGCTTCATCCAGTTGAATCGCAACCCGTCTTGCCAATTCCATTCTTGTCGAAGACGAAGCTTGAAGTATGTTAGCCGCCTTCAATAGTTTGAGCAAAAAGCTACAAGAAACAGCGTTTCTTTCCATCGGGAGTAAGATGATTATCGATTCCAAAAGCAGTCTGCTATTTGAATTCGAAGGATCCGATTCAGAACCCAACCCCATTTCGAGATTTTTTGAAATCTTTGGCAGCCATTTCGAAGTGTAGATCTTCAAACAATCACCAATAAGATTTGCAGGCACTTTGCCTCCAGATTTAAGGGCTGTCATCATTCTTCTGTAAAGATCCATTCTTAACTCCGAAAGATCCTCACCCCACCACCCTTTGCTTCCATTAATGTCTTCCTTGTCCCCATTTTGACTCAAATGGTTATGTGATAAGCTCACCTTCAAAGGGTTAGAAAGGACTTTTGACACCATGGCTTCAATACATTGGCTTGTGATCCCCAATTCCTCTGACCATAATTGGAATCTTTTTGTGGTTTGAAGGGTAATAATGCAATCCTTCCATCCATTAAGAATGCAGGAGTTAAAGAATACTTCAAGCTTGTGAACTAAATTCCCCTTTTCGAAATCTTCTGTCATTTGAAGGTAATTGGCCGCACATCGAGCCGATACGATGTTGTAGGCACCGATAGTGATTGTGATTCCATAGCAGAATTTGGCACATAATTCAAAAGTTTCACTGCCTCCTGGGAAATCAGGGAGTTGGATGAATTGAAGTTGAGAGGATTCGGAGCTCTCAAAACAGAGTCTCTGCAACTTCAAGCATTTCGACAGAAGGGGAAACTGAAGATGGAAAACAGAGTATCAAGAACCATGAAATTAGCCAAAAACCCACCAATTTGATTCGGTTTCATCGCATTATTTAATCAAATTCAACAACCCCTTGTGTAATCATGGTAAAATTGAAAAAAAAAATCATAAAAGTGGAGAATTGATGAAAAACAGAGTATCAAGAATCACGAAATTCGCCAAAAACCACCAATTCATTCGGTTATATCACATTATTTCATCAGAATCAACAACCCTTTTTGTGTAATCAAGGTAAAATTGAAAAAAGAAACAATCACAACAGTGGAGAATCAATGAAAAACAGAGTATCAAGCATCACGAAATTCGCCAAAACCCCACCAATTCCATTTGGTTTTATCACATTATTTCATCAAATTCAACAACCCATTTGTGTGATCAAAGTAAAATTGAAAAAAAAAATCATAAAAATGTTGAAAATTGAAGAAAAACGTCACCTTGTGAAGCAAATATCTTGTTTCATTCACTTGGATTATAAGATCGCTACGAACCTCTGAGGAAATTGACCTGAACCCAACTCATGATATTAATTCCAGTGATTTAACACAAAATGAAAAAACCCCAAAATTTTGATTTCAACTTGGAATGGGATAACAAACAGAGTACAAATTCGCGTTTAATGCTTACCTTACACCATTTTCAGTATAGAAAGCATCAGGACGAGAACCAAGTTTCATAAACTTCATCACTAAGCTTTTCTTGTTCTTAATTTCACCTTCTGTTGTTATATGAGTTCTTCTCTCATATCGTAATTCTTCATGGTTTAGTACCAAAAAAGGGTCAAAATAAGCTCTTTCTCCCACAGTAACGGAAACCTGTTCATATCAACAATAAAAAACAGAGCTCGATTACGAAAAATATTGCAAAATCGCCAATTCTAAAAGATTCTTGAAATCAAAATCAACCCAAAAGCAGAGATGATTTCAAAAAACAAAACAAACCCAAATTAGTTTCTGTCAAATCCCAATTCCCCAAATTGGTTTCACACAGTGTCCATGAAGTAGACGCAAGATAATCGCTCCAAAAACAGTAGTTTTGATTGTTTTTTTCGTGGAAGAAATCGATACAACATAAACCCATTAACGCAAAGTTAGAAGAAACCCATCTAATTGAAGCTTTTCTTCACAAAAAACAATAGGATTCTGATTGTATCCCACCTCAGTTGATTGTCGTGTACAGCAAAAACCCAATAGGGTTCTTCTCAAAACCAAAAGGAAATTAAACAAAAACCCTTGAATCTTTTGGGGTCTACAAAAAGATCGTTGGATAATAGAATATGGAAAATGGGTGTAGGTGGATAGAGAGAGAAATATCAAGATTTCACCTTTTCCACACTAAATGAATCTTGCAGAACAAAAATTGAGGGCCTCAATTTATGTTAGCCACGATTGTGGCTGGCTCTGAGATGGTCCTGGGTCGCACCCCTTTCGTGTATTGATGGTAATGGGGCCAATGGCGCACCCTTTTCTTGTTTTTATTGCAATTGGGTCAAGGTGAGTTTAATGAGATGCTAAAGTTGGTCCATTTTCTTTCATGTGGATGCAGACTTTTCATTTCCTTCTTTCAATTTTCAGTTGAATTTTTGTTTTGAGGCTGTCTTGAATCACATTATCTTTAGCTGTTTGTCATTGTTATCTATTTTGGTTCCTTCCACACACAACATAAAGATAAAAAGCATTACTTTTGAAAATAACACATCAAAAATACCTTTTTTGTATGAATTTATAGTCGTAAAGGGTAGCAGATGACACCATTTAAGATTCAAAGGGTTGGTTGTGGGTTTAGCCACTAGACCCAAACCAGGTATGTGGCTAGGACCAAGTTTGGATGGGTTTGGGCTAGTAGGGTGGTTTAGGAATAACATGGGAAATGTAAGGGCAAGTTGGGAATTTTACAACTGTGAGGTACCACTCTTGTCTGCCTAGGAGGGTACACAAAGAAACATGTGGGCCAGTGTCAGATAATCCACGTCTTTTTTTAATTTTCTTTTAAAATATTATTTTATTAAACAAATTACTTTCTATCTTAAAACACTGGAGTATTAAAGAATCTTGACCGGTCTTCCGACAATTAAGATAATTTATGACTTTTTAAGTAACATATTTATAAGCAATTTCCTTTTCCATGACATTTTAGGTAATACATTTATAATAAAGTTTTTTTTAAGATATATCCTATTAAAAATAGTAAAATTAATATTTAAATGATATTTCCTTTTGTATATTAATTAATTCAATTCTTTTTGCCTGTTTTTTGATTATTATTTAATCACTCTAATTTTTTTAATCAAATAGTTTCCATTTTTTTTTCTTTAGTTTTCTCCTAAAAAAACAATAAGTTATTGTTTGACAAAAGAAAATAATAATTTAAAAGCTAGTTTATTTTCTGGGTACTATACACATACATTAGCTTATTGATATGTACTTTGAGTAATGTTTTGGTAGTTTATTGTCACTTTTTCAATTATAATCCTCACTAATAATAATTAATATTTATTATAAGTAATTTTAAATAGATATTAATAAATCTTAAATATTATTGATATTAATTATTAATTAAT